AAATGAGCTCTTCCAATAATACATTATAGTATCATATTATTAGAAAGTATGCATGTGTGGAAGAGTTCAATAGAAAGTTAAGGGGTGTTGAATAGATGACTAGACCACTATATTCAGCCTTGTATGAGGAAAAATTAAGAGATCATTGTATTCTGTCAAAGTTGAAGAAACGTCCAAGTAATGTCTTGTTAGTTCGGTTACACATGAACAATGTTTATAATGCATTAAAATTTATAAATTGTCAAGGCATGCTTCCTACAACTATCCAAAATTGAACAGACTTTTTTTTTTTTTTGCAGACAATGGCAGATAAATCAAACTATATTAACTTTTACTGAGGTCTTTCTAGTTGCTGAAGGTTCTAAGGAAACTTACTCAACCATTGAAATGAATAGAATTCCTACTGTTCTGCATCTTATTGGCTAATGAAGACTTAGCTTACTTGACCATGAAATGAAAGACAAAACCTAAAAGCTGGAGAATTTCAAACTATTTCTAAAATCAGACATACATAATATAAAACACGAGTTTAAATGATACACAATGGTTTAAGACTAAAAACAATTTGAATATTTACAAATTAAGAAATAGAAAAAGCAAAAAAATAGGTTTACTATTGATAATTCAACAAACATCATTTAAACATTTTACAAACCATTCCTGCCAAAATATCATGTGAGGTTTAAGAATGAAGAGTGGTAACAATGATATTTTGGCAGAATTGGTTGTAAAACTGTAATCGTTTGTTAAATCCTGTTCTATTTAAAGCACATCAAGAATAAATTAGTACATATCTAAAAGTTTACACAAAATACGATTTTTCTTACAATACTGATGATTTTTGGTAGAAAACTTATTCCTCTCTTCACTTAGGAATTCCACATAAGTTTTTAAAACATTAGATTGACAGTATCAAAAAATCGACACAAAATATATCTATCTCTTTCACAAATGTTATGATAGAAAAAGAGACTTAATACGTAGGGGTCATGAAATCTAGCAATATTGAGCTTTGAAAGAAACACCATTTTTTTTACAAGGATGAGAACTAAAGTTTACACGGAACCTGGCTACCAGCTGGACTTTGCCCAAATCTCTTGGTATTGATCTTTCCTAGATTATCAGTACCCATTTACAGCTGGGTGGACTGGAATAATAAGGAAAGATAATTTGTTCAGGGTCACCAGACCCACAAACTCCATTTGATTGACGTATCCAAGAGAACGATGTCAACTTCTAACACTCTAGTTGACTGCGCTACAGTCCATGCACAAGAGCTAATATAACAGACGATAAAGTAACAAGGGTTTGGGTAAATATCTGGTCAAAATACTATTTTTGTGATGTTTTATGATTGATTTATGAGAAATTGATCTGAAAATATTATGATAAATTGGTCCTACAAGAGTGCTGGATGAGATACAAGATTTGTTTTAATACAAGTTTCACCCTGCCCTCTACTACATTCTATTAATATAACAAAGATCCGTGCATGAGTAAAATGATCTTCACAATGTCAAGTTATTATATTATAAACTATGTTTAATACCTTGACAGCAATAGCCATCTTTCTTGTGAAATGGAGCAATTACATTGTACGCTAGCAAATCAGAGCTCTTGACCTAAACTCACAAAATGCCACAGTGTTTATAGTCTTTCTGCTGAAAGCTCTGATTGATGGGGTACAATCCAATCAAATCACTGCATTCTGTGATATAAGAAAAGTGTCTAATGCTGTCAAGGTAATAGACACAGTTTGAAATACCTTGACATTGGGAAGATGGAGTTAAATGATACCAGTAGTAAAATGGATTTCTAGGAAAAACACAATGACAGAGGTCCCCTAGTCAATATGAAAAAATATTCAGATTAGTGAAGAGATAATTCTACATGATTAAGCTAGGGTCTTTGTGTACTGATCACACGATTGACAGAAAATAAAACCAATTGGACTCCGCCTTTTTGTATTGATCAAACGATTGACAGAAAATTCCCAAAAGCAGCATCTCTAGCTATAATATATATGATATGAAAATGGTATGAGCAAATATTTTTGACAACATTTAGTTACATAATAACAAAAATATAGAAAACATAGAACAGGAAATCTAACACAAATTTATCTTGAGTAAAATGATAGGGTCAAAACCCCCAAAACACTGGGCCAACTCTCGCAACAACTAGTCAAGACATCAGAATTTTACTAACTTTGAGGAGTTGAACTCTCAGTACAGACGTCAATCAATGTCACTCAACATGATATTTGTGTACAAGTAACAGATGTGAAAGATGTTTATGAAAACCTGAATTTAGTTGTTCTGGAAACTCAGAATTTCAGATTTCTATATCACTTTTCAAATCAAACACAAAGCACTTTTAACTTAAAATATCTGTGTATCAAAACCCAAACTTATAATATAACTGATTTTCTCCTAGACTATAACACCCTCAATAATTCTCAATATTCTGATAAAATGTGTGTTAAATTCCCTAATCTATACTCGTTAGTGAAAACAATAGTAAAATGATGAGAGTAAAATATAATTAGTATAAAAATTGATGGTTTAAAACATGGAAGCTTTCTATTACTGCAATATGGTGGTTTTATATTGCCTGGTTTATCCACTAACACTGTGTACAATCGTTCATATTAAACTTAAAGTCTTGATAAAATATAATCATTGAAAAATATTTATCAACACCCCTTAATCCTTTCATGAACTCTTCCAACATGTATTTAGATGGTATTCTTTTATGTATGCTTAGAAAAGTTCATTTCCAATTGAGGGGTGTTTGTCGTTGACTATTTTCCCAGCCTTGATCAAGGTAAAATAAGATAGGGTATTATCAAGAATCAGCAGAAAGGCAAAACGAAAAGTTTTCCAACAATTTAGATACAATGTATAACTACTAAGGATATATTTGAAGCAAAGAGTAAATTAGTTGGCGCCCAGCAAACTAAACTTTATCACACACGACCAAAATATACATAAACATTCAACTTTATACAATTCAATATACTCTTTTTCTTTATAAATCTCTAAATATCATTGGTCTACAAATACTGATATCAAACGTATTGATACACTGAACAGAGTTTTGAGTTGGTCAAATAATTTTAATATTCATGATGGTGTCAAATGACAAACTTTGTTCATGAAGCTGCAATTTTACAATCAATTCTTATGAAATAAATGATAAAAGAGGCAAAGCATTTAGCATAATTTTGAGTTGGTCAAATAGCTTTGAAAATTTATGAAAAGTTGAAAGTGTCGGACCAAAAACTGTAAACTGTGTTCGTGATGCTGAAATTATACACACAATTTCCTATGAAGCTTGAAAACCAGCCAACAATTAATGCCAAGAAGAGAAGATTTATGAGCTAAATAATAGATTTTAAAACAAATAATTGAAATTTTTTTAAATTGAATTGTTTCCAACACTCAATCAGTTTATTTCAAATCACGTTTGTAAGTTTCTAGGTTAATCTTCATCTACTAAAACACTTCTATTCGGATTATTCTGGGTTAGAAATCAGGATTACTCACCATAAATGAAATAAATCTACAATCTGTTTATAAACAACTCATTTGACTCAGAAGTGGTACTTTAGTTTCATTTATGGCCAATATAGATTTTTTTTTTTTTACAGTTAGGCAAAGATTTTTGCACATCCAGAAAACATTCAAAAATGGTTCACTTGTTTCTAAGTACTAATAAACACCAAAAAAGTGTATAAGACTTCTACAAATTCAATTCTTTCATTCTAACCAAATACAATTTGAACTAGGGTTGTTGATTTATCTGTATTTACCAGTCATGTCTGATTGAGCTTAAAAATGACTGACTTCAAATTTGATCTTTAGGACAATTTATAATTATTTACTGGGAATCTGGGAACGGCCCTGATTTGAACAGCTCGTGTTTAAGTTTTGATTCAGACCGGCTCTCTGCACAAAAATATTTACTTGGCTACGTGTATAATCCACCCCTACCTATCTTAGCAAACAGATGTAAATAAACAGTTCAAAGGTTATAATGAATGATATTATATATCTGACTAAATATATACAAGGTATATTTATCACACTACAGTTTCTACTCAATATACAACTATTCCAGCCAAAAGCTTTTATCAAACAACAAGTTTTAGAGAGATCAGATGATAATTTGGTGTAAATTGTTGCTAATTGAAAATGCTAGCCATTCCTGCCAAAAGTTTTTATCAAACAACAAGTTATAGAGAGATCAGATGATAATTTGGTGTAAATTGTTGCTAATTGAGAGATAAGCCTTATTTTATTATTCTGTTATACTCATTCAAAGTCATGTTTTCAAACCAAATAGTTTCTTAAATCTACAACATACAAATCATTAAACCAAATATTCTCTAAAGTGTACACTGTCAACATCAGAGAAACAAAAGGCAAAGCAAATAAAGTTAAGTAAATAATCGTAGAAAAATTAAAACAGAACCTGAAACATGTTGTTACACAATGTTCCACACTGTTCAGACAACTGACAGAATAATTGTAAAATGATAAAAGAACTGAGTGTGATAAATATGCCTCGATGTTTAAATGACTGAGCGTTTTTCCATCCATCACAGTAAAAATCATGGCTCCTCACAGCCTAATATCAAAATCTCTCCTCAATACAGCAGTAGTATACAGAAAGCCTGAAAATTGGGTCAATTTCATTCTGGTAGACAAAGGTAGACAACTCTTTATTGTAGTTTAGTTCTATTCAGACCACAAGAAGGTTACATGTTGTTTTCATTGTCATCAATTAGCCTGGAGTAAAATTCCAGTTCTTCAAAATTTTGATTAAATCATGTCCTCCTCCTCCTCCATAAAAAAAAGTTTTCATAAAAGGCTTTTAAAATTCTTGGTCTAACAAACTTCATTAAATAAATGCCAACATTTGATTAGTCAGCCTATATTGCACAGTTTATAAGAAATTGACCTATTTCCAGACTAATCTAAATATAGTAAGATGACCTAATTATAATAGGTTCCCCCACTATAACCACCACGTGAAGGGTAGGGGGATTTCTCTTGTTTTCTGGCCATGTCGTACACAATGTCGTCTGGTTGTGGTACAAATAAATTACGTAGAATGTGGATTAAAATGGAGCCAATGATGACACAGATGAGCTGAAATGAGAATAAAAAAGGTTCATTTAAAATCTATGTCCTCCCATGGTTGGGTAGAATAAAGAGTTCCAAAACTTGGCCCCTAATTTGGCACTAAAACTCAATTACTCGATAGTTTATGGATTCAATATTTCTAAGAATGTCTACAATGTAAGCTTAATAGATCATATCAAGTACAGAAATTGATGTAGGGGTGGGGTGGAGTTGGAGGGGGGAAGATATTTATGCCCCTCGGATAGGCAGATGCTGTCCCCATGGTGATTTGATTGATTCTCATAATTTAGCCCACAGCCACTCAAACCCAATCTTATTTTTACACAAATCTTCAGGATTGCAAGAAAAAATGCAAAGTTTTCTGCCGTAAACAGATTCACCAGATATGGGAAGATTTAAAATAGAAAATAATGTTTTGATAAAAGAATTGACATGATATGATGTTTCAAGGGCAATAACTCTGTACTAACCTGTAGTGTAAGTAATGTGACAGCTATACCGACAACCACACCAATATAATTATCAAAAAAATCTACCAGAGCATGTTTACATCCCTGAAATATTCAATCTCATCATTATTTTGTCATCAATCATTAAAACAATTAATTAACTCATACAGACAGTCAGACAGTCGACAAGAGTGTTATTTCATTCTTTTTCAGATATTTCAATTCACTGTTTACTAATATCAAACACTTTTTGTGCATAAGATTTGAACGACATATAGAATCGAGGAGCACATATAACAAAACACAAGACAATATTATGGGAATTCATCTCTCGTAACATCGTAACGCTAGCTAAGTATTTATCATGATACAGGTATATAACCCAGCCCTAATAATGAGTAACTCTTTCTTATATAAAGGAAGACGACTTGGGAACCATGAGAATTCATCTCTCGTAACATCGTAACGCTAGCTAAGTATTTATTACGATACAGGTATATCACCCAGTCCTAATAATGAGTAGCTCTCTCTTGTAGAAAGGAGACCGACTTGACAACCATATAGCAAAAATACACTTTTTCGTAACACTCTAATACTAGCTGAGTATACTGGTTGATGTCAGGATACAGTTCAATATGAATTCACTTTGAAGTATAGAATTTTACATCAAGAAATAGTAATAGTTACGTCATTATTGATCGTAAGATATTTTGTGAAACCAGACCCTGGGGTCTTGAAAATTTTACTGTCATAAAATCAGAATTTTTAGAAATACAATAATTTGATTGGATAATAAATAAAACTAAATTTAAAATGAATTTTATTGATTGACCAATCAAATGACAGTTAAGTTTTCAAAAATAAAGTCCCTGGCAATAAAATCATCAGAAATCACGAGTAAATACTTACAGTTCTATGAATCTTTGGGTTGACTTCATTTTTACTACCCTCAGTTACTGGTCCCTTGTACATATAACAGTTATAATTGGTCCCCTGGGCGTTCTGGTAGCGTTCATAATCGTTACAACACGATAAGGGTGTTTGGTCTTTACGCGGGGACTCAGAGTTGTCAGGGTTGTCAGAGTTTGAAGCTAGAGACATCCAGTTTGACTGAGTATAATCAGTAAAATGTTCACCACCACAACAGTTTAACTGAAATATTGAAATAACAATTAACTAAAAATAGAAGAAAAAAACTTTATCAGAACTCTGAAATAATATCCACTAATATACACTTCTGTCCTAATAAATGTAGGAACATTGCTAAAAATAAACTCATTTCCATTAAAGATTCCTTTCCACTTTGAGACAAAAACTTTTTAAGTTTTAACACTTTGCCATTGTGAACCTACCTCTGACTGCATGTATACCACCCCTTTCACTCTAGCCCCACCCTCAACCTACCTCTAATTGCATGAGGTCTATAATCTGAGATGGTCTATCTCGTTCCCTGGTATACCACCCCTTTCACTCTAGCCTCACCCTCAACCTACCTCTGACTGCATTAGGTCTATTATTTGAGTTGGTCTATCTCGTTCCCCAGTATATTTTTCTCGTATATAATGAGTTATTATTTCACCTCTACCAATCGTGTCTTTTAACTACAAAATAAAATCGCAATTTCAATACAATAATAAGAAAATAGGGATATACTTAAGAAAACTGAAAAAATTTATCAAAATTTGACAATTTTCATACAGAGCCTAGTTTTCATTAATCAGTAAGCTAGTTCCTAATCTATTTTTACTAAGTAACAAGAAAACTAATGTTAGTTCAATGTTATTTTCTAATCAAATCATAAAATATAATATTGGATTTAACATATTTTTTTCACTTGATCCATTTCAAATATATTTGAGGGTCGATTGTAACCAAAGTTTGGGTTTATTCTGCCATGGGTTTTGTCATCTATTTCAGAATACACATGATGCCATGGCTATAGTTGTTCCTGTGATAATCTGTTGAAACAACATATAATAATACGTACATCTTCTCTGTATATAAAACCAAACACAAATCCTCCTGCAGTCATCACACTTACAAAACTTATCATTACTACAAACTGAAAATAAAAAAAAAATCATAATAAAATTTTTAAAATAAAGAACCCTTGAATATTTCAACTTATATATTTCAAGTTTTACAAAAAATTTATACTGATGATTTGTGAAAATGAAATCATTTTTTCTCCTAAGAATCATTAAAAAAATTTTCAATTGTTTTTGTTTAAGAAAGAATGAAAGGAATTTTGAGAGAGAATATTGTGTGTATAACCGGACATGAAGCACATTACTAAGTTGTTATTTTGGTTATAACCTCATGTTATACAATGTGATACAACTTGACATATTATTACATAAGTATACAATAGGTCATAAATTAACAACAACAGTCAGGACAAGTTAAATATCTCCTTCAGATCAAACTTTTTACAGTTATTAAAGTTATAGTGGCTTAATTCTACCCTTGAGCCATTCATTTTACTAAGTGGGATTGCAGCTTTTAAATTTCTACTTATGTCACCAGAAATGACTTTGATTTCAGCAAATTTTTGTAATTTTTATAATTTGAACACTAAGAATGACTATAAGGAAATTGTCTTCAATGTCAAATTAAGCAAACTATTTGATTAATTGATGTTTCTAATGAATTATCATGTATTCTTAATCATATCATTATGTTCTTATTGCATATAATTAAGAGTTTTAACCAATCATAAATGTCCATGTATATACAGTCTGGATAAAAAAAAAATATGACTTTTTGACCTTTCTTGATCGGTCACTCATTTGAATTCTGCTAGTACTTCTCTTCTATTTTAGCTAATTATGAATTAATTATGGACATGTGTGACAAACTGGTATTTTTCCAAGTCACCAGAACAACTCTACTTTCTATTCATAAGTATTAGCATTTTCATAAATCAAAATAAGGGAACCCATCTTTAAACGACATGTTTTTTAACAGATAGACCACTAGACCAGTCTATTATGAATAGGTCATAAACTAATAATAGGTGGTATAATTAAGGACTATTATAGTAAGATTGAAAACTCGATAATTAACCCACTTAAAATCTCGTTACTGACTGTTACAAAATATGAAATCATAGTCCAAGGTCATTTTCAAGCCTTTAATAAATAACACAAGTACTAACCATCCTAAGTGTAAAACAAAACTCCAAAACCAAAATAAGAGTTTGGTCATACTTTATAGAAGCTAATGAAGTATATCAATTATAAATGACGAAGTATGCCATAATGAAAAGTAGTATCAGGTGTCTAGAACAGTAAGCATACCCTGTCTGGCACAAAACTGCTTACATGAGGAAGTATATCAATCATAAATGACGAAGTATGCCATGATGAAAAGTGGTATCAGGTGTCTAGAAGAGTTAAGCATACCCTGTCTGAAGTGTTCCTGTGAACCATTAGGCGAGGGGCGTGAGTAGGGACCATAGGATTGTCAGGAGGGTCATAGGCAATTCTTTCCAAAAATGATGAATATAAAGGTAGTTGTGGAAGGAGGATAGATGACTAAGACTCGTGACTTATGATGCGCTGCTCATTACAACCATCAAACATTTCAGCAGTGAATGTTGAGTCTCTAGAGTAGTATTACATCTGGCTATAAATCTTGATAATATAATATTTATCAGGGTCTATATAAGTCTATTAACCAGGTCATGACATTGAGTGAAATATATTTTACAGTCTTCTAGTGAACTGTTCTGCAATCTTTATCAATTATGTCAGGCTATGTATTAACATTGAGGAATGAAAATCAAATAAACACAATTTATAATTTAGTACCTAAACTCTCACACGTGTGTCTTCAGTGGTTGGTATTAAGACAAGGTTCAATTTAGATTGAAATATTTGATAAGCAATTAATCACATCAAATTTGAATTTTGGCTATTCAAGTTAAATTTTGATTCGTATTTCATAAAAAGTTCCTAGCAATCATCTTTTAAGTAATGATAGTTCTTTAAAGAGATTGTAAAGAAGTTTATTCTATGTATTGAAAACACTGATAGCATCGATTTGCACCATTCCAATTTTCAATCAGAAAATCTGTGGTTCCTGAAATTCCATTAAAACCATGTGTTTGATGACATCGCACCCGCAAAATTTGCTTGTATTACATAAGACCTTTGCAGGGGTGAGGTCATAAAAAATTTGAAAACAGAACCTTGAGAAACATGTCAATAAAAGAGAAAGTATATTTGGCCATGGAGTACTCTTAGAAATATTTACTTACCACTATAAGAACACCTTTATTTGTAGTTAAAGCTCCAATCAGACCAACAATACCAAATATTAGTATAATGGCTCCCACCACTATTAATACATACAGTATTATTAGATAACGCTGTAATTCTTGGTCCACTAATAAATATTCATTAGACCAATAATCCAACAACAACCATAATGGTACACCGAATAAGATAGCTCCAAACAGCTGAAAATATAATAATATTTAATAAAGTATCATTCACAAACAATTGTATTTTACAAGGATATCAATTTCGGTTCACCAAGGATCCTGTCTACCAGTTGATCCTTGGCCTAACCTCTTGAGCTTGAGCTTTCCCTTTTTTACTTATCATGATACAGGGTACTGGATAAGACTTAACATTTATAACTATGATATTTGGTAATGTAGATGATAGGAGTGGTTACCTCCAATATCTTATAAATAGTTTCAAATAATTTCAGTCTAAAACAGTGAAAAACATATGTGATTCCAATCACCAACTTTTCTTAAGGAATGAGAGGTATCGTCAAGTATCGATATATGACCTTGAGATACAATATGTGTATTGTGGCATGTCGTATCACGGTACGTCAATTCACTGATCAGTAGGCTAGCCCACTTACCTACAAGAACCAAACCATCCATGCCAAGGTAGAAAAATCATTCCTGTTTCACGATACAGAGGTCACAATACGATACATATCGCGATATGGGGTAATGGGATCAAAATTAACATTTTATCTTTGAAATTTCAATATATTAATTTAATACTTTATAACTGTGATATTTGGTTATACAGATGATAGAAGTTATTAATAATGTCCACTGTGATATATCGATTCACCTGTATATTGTGGCACCACTAGTACCTATAGAAAAGACACTACGTGCAAATAATTCATTGGATTCTACCAAAAAATCGAAGTATATTATAAGAGAAGTTGGATAATGAGATATATGAACAGCCATGATAATATTCTCAGAAAATAACAGTGCACCAATAATAACATATAAAACGAAGAATTGTTTATTTAATATTATTATCAATATTTAAACTAGACATAGTAGTGGGAGTAAACAAAATAAATAAACAACAGTGGTGTGTTTATCATCATAATAATCTAGACAGATAGTCTGTAATCAACTCAGCTAATATCGGATTATTGACACTAAAGTCTTCAGCGAGATTATCTTCAAAATATGTCAGGGTGTCACAGGGCTATTCTTAAAGTCTGGTTTAGAGTAGAATCTTTCTGTCAAAGTTTACACCTAAGGAAACACCAGCAATTGATCACGAATCGAGATTTTATTTGAAGACTAAGGTAGAAAATGAATCAAAGAGTGTTATTCAGTGTGAAGTTTTGAATCATGGTGAATCTTAACACTATTTCAGAGTGTCAAGGGGTATTTAACTTATTTTAAAAGTCTGGTTTAATCTGTAAAATTTGTCACTTAAAGCACCACTGGTATAGTAAGAAGATAAGATTATAAATCAGAGACTTTGTATCTCAGTTTATTGAAGTTTTGAAGCCGGATCTAGCTTAGATTTTTATCAGGGTGTCATAAAGTTAACTAAGTAAACTTATTCAGATACTGTAATCAATGTCTGGTTGTAGAACCACTTTTTAAAATGTGTAAACTAGCCAGAAAAAAACAGGACGTAAATCTCCATACATTTCCTTTCTTAATTCTTAGAGAACATCTAACCCAACCCAACTACATTTCACTTCTTAATTCTTAGAGAACATCTAAGCTAACCCAACCCAACCCAACTACATTTCACTTCTTAATTCTTAGAGAACATCTAAGCTAACCCAACCCAACTACATTTCACTTCTTAATTCTTAGAGAACATCTAAGCTAACCCAACCCAACCCAACTACATTTCACTTCTTAATTCTTAGAGAACATCTAAGCTAACCCAACCCAACCCAACTACATTTCACTTCTTAATTCTTAGAGAACATCTAAGCTAACCCAACCCAACCCAACTACATTTCACTTCTTAATTCTTAGAGAACATCTAAGCTAACCCAACCCAACCCATGTATTACCTAATAGAATTGCAGGTCATCCACTGCTATGCCTAATAGGCCTACAAATAAAATATCTTCCCTAGTGAGAGGAGTCCTGCAACTTTTAGTAGCAGTATTATAAATAAACAAAATTCCAATAACAAATCTGACTTAAAAATATGTTACATGGTGAGTGTCAGTCAATCTGTCACAATATTTGACATTAGATGACTACTCTGATTTAGGCCTATGCATAAATAATGAATAAGAAACTTGACTGATGTCTTATGGCTCTTGCATTTTCTTCAATTCAATCAATCGGAAATATTTGCCTATTCATGAATATTCATCAATTTAGCAATCACTTTAACCATAATAAGCCGTTACAGAAACAGAGCTATAACAGAAGCCGTGAATGTGCTTTTTTTTCTATATTAACTTCCACTAAATTTAGTCTCGATTTCTGATTTGTGTTTATTTTTAGCCAACTGTCTCGTCTGAGATGCAACTGATAGTCGAGAAAATACTTCCGACAGGAAAACAACACTTACCCATAGAAACACAATAAATACAACCAACGAGGATTTTAAACAGAACAATTTCTGATCTGTTCTCATTTTGACAGCCAGCTAACGACCATTCTATTCCCGATCCTTGGTCCTTTTTAGTTGACACTTTTTTGTGTTTTACTAACTTCCGGTAGCCTAATTTCTTCCAGTAGGTGGCGGTTATCTACTTCCGGTGAGTCACTTGAAGAAAGTATTTTATTTTATGAATCCTCGAATTTCATTAGAGTTTTCAAGTATTTATTTACGATAAGGCCTGTCAATTAAGTGCATTCTTTCATAGGTTAGTCATGCCTCCAAAAAAGTCGAGGAAGGCGGCCCCAGAAAATGCAAGCGATGACAATCTAGAACCTCCTACAAAGAAGTTGAAGAAAAAAGATGATGCAGATAATGGGGACGCCGCTACACCAACAAAGACAAAGGGAGCTAAGGGAAAGACTAAGAAGAACAAAGAGGAAGATGGGGAAAATGGTGCCGAAACACCAAACCTCAAGAAAGTTCCCTCGGTTGATGTATCAGGAATGGACTTTTCCTCTGATGCCAAAACTGAAGATGGAAGAAAATGGAATTTGAAAGTTGCATCCTGGAACATAAATGGAATCCGTGCCTGGTTACAGAAAGATGGCACCAGTTACATAAAAGCTGAATCTCCAGACGTCATGTGCCTTCAAGAAACCAAATGTGACACATCCAAAATCCCTAAAAATTGTGAAGTCGAGGGCTACCATTGTTACTGGCTGTCTGGAGATCAAGAAGGTTATTCTGGAGTTGGAATGATGACTAAAAAAGAACCCATCAAAGTGTCGTATGGTATAGATGTCGCCGAGCACGATAAAGAAGGTCGAGTCATCACTGCAGAATTCGAGAAATATTTTGTAGTCACAGCCTATATCCCTAACAGTGGTAGAGGGTTACCTAGACTGGAATACAGAACCAAACAATGGGATGTAGATTTCATTGCTTACTTGAAAAAACTGGATGCTAAAAAACCAGTCATTTTATGTGGAGATTTGAATGTCGCTCATTTGGACATCGATCTGAAGAATCCTAAAACCAATAAAAAGACAGCTGGTTTCACCCCTCAGGAGAGAGAAGGCTTCACTAATCTATTACAGGAGGGTTTCGTAGATTCGTTCAGGAAACTTTACCCCAAGAAAGAGGCAGCTTATACTTTCTGGGCGTATTTTATGAATAACAGGGCTAAAGATTGTGGGTGGAGATTAGATTATTTTGTAATTTCTGAGCGTTTAACGAAAGATCTGTGTGATAGTGTTATTAGGAAATATGTTTTGGGCAGTGATCACTGTCCAGTTGTATTTCTAGCCAACATTTCTTAACTCAATACTCGCGAATTCATTCAGACTAACTGCAAACGTGGGCATTTTTATCATTGTATTATACCATATATTCAAATATCATAAAGATTTAGTCATGGTGACGTAAACCAAAGTAGTCATTGAATAGTTTCTCTGAAAATTGCTGATAAGTGATACAGGGCAGACTTCTGAAAGAAATGGGCATTACATCAGAATTTTTCTTACCTCCAAGAGGATTCAAACCAAAAACCAACGGCATTTTATTGCCATCAAGTAGGCAACAATCCAACTCAATACCTACTAAGCTTTTCCGCTGCAAAAATAAAAATCAAAATGACCAGATTGAAAAGGGATGTTTTTGACTGACACTGTTAAATACTTATGTTGATTCTTTTTATTTGATGTCCATCATAATACAGTGGTTTTCAATTTGTTTTTATTTGTAAATAGTGTAAGCTTTATCAAGAATTAATCAAGAACCTATGTTTTTTTTATTGTTTTGTCCTAGAGAAATAAATGATCATGTTAGAGTTTTAACAATTCAGGATGAAAAGTGTAATTTTGTTTTTTGTTGTTTGATACTGATTCTAAGTTTGTTATTCGAGATGTTGTATATAAAAATATGAGAGTGAATAAAAATTATGTAGTTTTATCTCAAATTAGTTTCATTACTTATCAAAAGAAAGGAAGAAATAACTATAATTTACAAGGATAACAACTTAGATTCACAGTCTACCAGCTGATCCTTGGCCAAACCTCTTGGCATTTATTTTTCCCAGATTATCTGTACCCATTAACAGCTGAGCCAACTGCAATTATGAGTGAAGATAACTTATTCTAGGTCATTAGTTCATGAGATAAAAAGCACAATGCTTGAGAGTTGTTGCAAATATTTCAAATGTGGTCTGAAAATCTCCACTCATAATAAATTATTTCCCTTTGTAAAACATGGTGAGAGTAAATCAAGTAGAGTAAGAGTGATTTTGTTTCTGTTGTCCTATTTGTGTGTTCCTATTTCAAACTAAGAGGGATTGTAAAGGGATTGTAATGAGGTTTACCAAAAAAATTATGGGTATTGGGGACATTGATAGGATCAAATCGCAAAGGGCGTCCTCAAAAACAGTTTTAGTGGAATTGCATGAAACACAGACCCCTGATTTTTAATTGATGCTATCAGTGTCACCAATAGGCCTACATATAAGAAATTAAGAAAATCATAGAATAAAATGAGATTTATATCTCATGTAGTTTTCGGCCTTTGTGTTATTATTTAATCATTTCTCTTTCATTTGCATTTTAGGCTCGGAATATTTTTGGTTAGTGATGACAACTTAAGGTTTGCTTCCAGCGGATGCTGATATCAAAGACTAGGTAGTTGTTGGTAGATGACAAGTAAACGTCTGCTTCTAGCTAACTGATATTACAGACTAGGTAGTTGTTGGCAGATGACAAGTAAACATTCCCTTCCAGCTAACTGATATCACAGACTAGGTAGTTGTTGGTAGATGACAAGTTAACGTTCGCTTCCAGCGGATACTGATATCACAAACTAGGTAGTTGTTGGTAGATGACAAGTTAACATTCGCTTCCAGCTAACTGATATCACAGACTAGGTAGTTGTTGGTAGATGACAAGTTAACGTCTGCTTCCAGCTAACTGATATCACAGACAAGGTAGTTGTTGGTAGATGACATGTTAACGTCTGCTTCTAGCTAACTGATATAACAGACTAGGTAGTTGTTGGTAGATGACAAGTTAACGTTCGCTTCCAGTGGATGCTGATATCAAAGACTAGGTAGTTGTTGGTAGATGACAAGTTAACGTCTGCTTCTAGCTAACTGATATCACAGACTAGGTAGTTGTTGGTAGATGGCAAGTTAACGTCTGTTTCTAGCTAACTGATATCACAGACTAGGTAGTTGTTGGTAGATGACAAGTTAACGTCTGTTTCTAGCTAACTGATATCAAAGACTAGGTAGTTGTTGGTAGATGACAAGTTAACGTCTGTTTCCAGCTAACTGATATCAAAGACTAGGTAGTTGTTGGTAGATGACAAGTTAACGTCCGCTTCCAGCTAACTGATATCAAAGACTAGGTAGTTGTTGGTAGATGACAAGTTAACGTCTGCTTCTAGCTAACTGATATTACAGACTAGGTAGTTGTTGGTAGATGGCAAGTTAACATTCGCTTCCAGCAGATTTGTTGGTAAATAACAACTTATCGTCTGCTTCCAGCTAATTGATATCACAGACTAGGTAGGCCTATATTTGGTAGTTGATTCAGGATCAATTGGATGGTTTGGAAGTTGAGCCTTGGATATTGGTAGTGTACTTACTTAGCCACTAGCAATGAGACTCATCAGACAGCTGAAGGGAAGTAACTCCTGTCTAACATACAGAAGATTTTCAACTCTATTACACAAGATAACAGCAAATAAAATAAGCAATGGTCATGGCACTTCGAGAGACAAACAGCTCAGTGGTTGTACAACTGTCCGAAGAGTCCATCAATACAAAGAAGCTCCCCATATTCCTGTCATGGTGGATGAAGTCTTATCAATAATCAACCCAAAACCAAACCAGGTCAGTAGGATATAGTAATCTCAAGATTTTCAAAAGAGAGGATGTTGAATGGATGTAATTTCTAAGAGCAATAAAAAACACAAGTACTTATGATCTTAACTGTAAAACAAAACTCAAAATCCAAAATAACATTGGTAACAGCTAATGAAATACTCATATGAGGAAGTAATCTTATCTTAATATTATGTGAGTAAATAAAAACGCAAGGGAATATAGTATGGTATGATACACTTCTTTCATAACAAGGTACCTAGCGTTTCAACACAATTTACACGTGTTGTCATCAGATGAAACAAAGAAGAGAGGGTGAGAATGTATCAAAAAATGCAACGTAAGATATTGAAATGGTTGTCCCCTAAAACCCTGTCATAATTCTTCATCTAGATTGCTTAATTAACTATGGTATATTTTATTTCACTTTGTAAGATTTTAATTTTCAATGTTTCAGACATTTCTTGACATGACATTTGGAGCCGGTGGACATTCTAGGGAAGTGTTGAGAATATCTCCTGATACAAGAGTTATTGCCCTTGATAGAGATCCATTAGCTCATTCATATGCCGTAGAATTACAACAGTCTAGGTAAGAACATCGTCTGGAACTTTCTTCCTCAACACCTCTCTGGCATTAAATTAATCTGTTTTTAAAACCCAACACAAATCTCATCTCATTATGAACGCTTTAAACTGTTGAAGATTTGCCCAGCGCAATAGAAACTTTAATCAGTAATGCCGCGTTTATATAAATTTATAATATATAGACACAGCTTTATCAAACAACTTTAACCAATGATTGTTGTTCTATAAAGCTGTGTCTATATATCGTACTCACAATTGCTAAATGCCATTCAAAGACTTTATAAATTTAGAAGTTATTATTATTATTATTATTACAGTGAGAGTACAGTACTACCACTATTAGGAAAGTTTACAGATATCGAGAGACTAGCTAGTGATGTAGGTATACAACCTGGTACTGTTGATAGTGTACTGTTTGATGTAGGAACATCATCAATGCAGTTTGACACAGCTGAACGAGGGTTTGCTCTCAGTAGAGATGGTCCGTTAGATATGAGGATGGATGGCAGCAGGTATATTTATTAGGATATGAATATTAATGAGACGTGTAGTACAAAGTGTCATGTTGTATTGTAGTCAGTATGTAATATATTGATAAAGAAAAATTATGTAAAGTGTCATTATAAATATAGATGGAGTCTGTTTTTATACTTATTGATATTTTATCTTTAAATTTTATTTTATAAAGAGATTTTAGAGCGTCAAATCACACCATTTTAATGTGTAATAAAAGTGTTTCTTGCAAACTAAAATAGAGCGTTTTATGAGGTTGCTATGACAAAGTCTGCTATAATAATAATTTTAAGACATCATAAAATAGTACATTCACGATTCCTTGACACTTGGGAATTAAAAAAGAGCAGGCTAATGCTTCTGTCACAACAAAATTTCCCTCATTGCACAGTGCATGGTGTTGCCTGTCGTCTTTAGCTCACATGGTGCAGGAAAGTAGGATGTTAAAGTCTATATCTTTCATTTCAGACTACCAGACCAGCCGTCAGCGTGTGAAGTAGTTAATCTATTATCAGAGAATGATCTATATCATATTATAAAGAAATATGGTGAAGAGAATAAAGCTAGAAAGATAGCTAATATGATAGTAGAATCAAGATATGCTTACGGTAGAATTGAAACAACACAACAGTTAGCTAATATTGTCAAGAGTGTGTTTGATATGTAAGTATAGTGGAGGAAAGTTATTCCTTCACTGCTGGATATCTTTCAAAACATAAAAATAAGAATGTTAAAAGATATCTTTCTATACCTGGGTATGTTTTACTATAATAGGAAATATAATGTACTGATTTGGTTATCCAGTCTTGATCTGTTCAACAACATAAAGGGCATTTGCCTTGGTGCGTACCCCTAGTTCATTTCTCATAAATTGAAAAATAAGATTTCTATACATTTTACCCAAAAATGTGTCACAATGCATCCAATTAAGTAATCATTTTTTTCAAAAATTTTTTTTGGGGAACACCCTCTCAAGACTCACCATGGATTGCTTGTGTCTATGGCACTTCCACAAAGCTCCCTCAATTTGAAGTCAGCCCGCCTACAATTTGTACCCCCAGAGTTAGAAGGGTGGTGCTGCCACTGCACAGATACTTATGCATACACATGGATCATTCTTAAATTGACATTAATTTTTATTTTTAGTGAGTACAAGAAAGACAAAATGCAGAGACATTCTCATGTTGCAACGAAAACATTTCAAGCCATTCGAATATTCGTAAATAATGAACTTAATGAACTTAGTAACGGACTAGAAATGGTACATCGCTTATTGAAACCAGGTGGCGTTTGTGTAGTTCTAAGCTTTCATTCACTGGAGGATCGAATCGCTAAACGACATTTTCATGGCATCAACCTGGAAGACGAACCGAATATGTCTGTTCGTGATCATTATCGGAATTCTAAAATAGCACATTCAATGGATGCAGTAACACAAATCATGGAAAAATGTTGGAAACCGTATTCTAAGAAGGTGATAACTCCGTCAGATAGTCATTGTAAAGAGAATCCTAGAGCTCGATCAGCGAAATTACGTGCTGCTTATAAACTAGAAGTAAATAAATATAATATATAGTTCAACTTAGATTTGTTCTTACATCCGGCCCCGTATTCTTGATACGATCTTAGCGCTAGGATGTCCTAGGTTCTAATCTTCTAACATTGATTCTAGGATATCTTAGGTTCTTATCTTCTAACATTGATTCTAGGATATCTTAGGTTCTTATCTTCTAACATTGATTCTAAGATGTCCTAGGTTCTTATCTTCTAACATTGATTCTAGGATATCCTAGGTTCTGATCTGCTTACATTGTTTCTAGGATATCTTAGGTTCTTATCTTCTAACATTGATTCTAGGATATCTTAGGTTCTTATCTTCTAACATTGATTCTAGGATATCTTAGGTTCTTATCTTCAAACATTGATTCTAAGATGTCCAAGGTTCTTATCTTCTAACATTGATTCTAGGACATCCTAGGTTCTTATCTTCTAACATTGATTCTAGGATATCTTAGGTTCTTATCTTCTAACATTGATTCTAGGACATCCTAGATTCTTATCTTCTAACATTGATTCTAGGATATCTTAGATTCTTATCTTCTAACATTGATTCTAGGATATCCTAGGTTCTTATCTTCTAACATTGATTCTAGGACATCCTAGATTCTTATTTTCTAACATTGATTCTAGGACATCCTAGATTCTTATCTTCTAACATTGATTCTAGGACATCCTAGCGCTAAGATCGTTTTCAACCAGTGGGGTAATTAGCTATGAGAGATAAAGTAATCTTCAAGGATCTTGAAAGGGGTAATAGAAAGAAAAGGGTTGAAAACCTGTTCAAGGTCCTGATCCCTGTTTTTCCTATCAATGATCTAGGTCAGAGATAATAGGCCCTACCTTTCGGATTTTTTAAATCCAGCCGGTTTCCCCTTTGTCAGTGATTCAGGTTTGAGAAATTGACATGGAAATAACGTTTAGTCGTTCAGATGGAACAATCCATTACCGAGGCCCTGTGTGCTACAGCCTGCAGTGTTAAAAATCCCTTGACAGTTGGAAATCCAAAAAAAAGAGTAGGCTACTGCACTACCAAGTCCAATGATGGTTTTTCAATGACAGCCCCTCTGATCTGCATCACTGATTGAGGTAAAATATCTAAGGTTTTATCTCAACCTATGCTGAACCTCAAGTTTAGGCAGCTAGTACCCAACCCATTGGTCCACTCTCACCTTAGAGTTCCTGATTAAGAGAATCAACCTCCCATTAATGACCTGAAGAATCAGCTGGTAAATGAATTCAATAATCTCACTTAATTGATATAATAAAAACTTTATTGCCCATGGAATTAGTTGATAAAATAAACACAAATTAAATCATAAAATAGAACACGAATATATCATCAGGAACAAAAAATAACAACAACACGTCTGTGGAAATAAGTGGTCTGTAACAAACTGGGGCCTGGGACTACCTTCAACTTATTATCTTCACAATGTCAAGCTTTTACAAACCTTGTCTAATACCTTGACTGCAATAGCTACTGTTCTTGTATCACTGAATGCATTAATTTGATTGGATAATACGTCGACGAATACTGTCAATCAGAGCCTTTAACAAAGACTGTAAACATAATGATAGTTGACATTATGGCTTAGTGTTTACAGATGTCCAACGAGGGCTCTGGTTGGCTGCATTCACTGGTGTACAATCCAATGAAATCACTGAATTTACAAACCTATATGATACAAGAAAAGAACCTAATGAAGTCAAGGTATAAGATGAAGTTTGTATGTAATACCTTGACATTGTGAAGAAGTCAACAAATACAATGGCCAATAAATACAAAGAGCAAAAAACAACATACAAAACAAGTTAGAAACAAACATACTTAATTTTATACCATAAATAAAATTATTGAAATAAACCTTTCATATAAACTTATGCTGGCTAATCTCTTAAAGTTTTGTTGTAAATTCAGTTATAACTTCCCAACACAAGGCAGGTTATTGTCTTATTACAGGTACAATTTGAGTATCTCTGAGAACCAGCACTTCAAATGAGAAAGGAGAGGCCAAATATGCCGAAGCCTTGCTTTCAACTATTCTACAGAAAGTCTTTCTAAATCTAATCTTGAGAAAGGAAAAATTCATTGTCAGTCACTATCCTTTGGATATAAATTTTGGTTTTTGACACATGACTACAAATATAATTAACAACAAGAAGAATAATGTGATTTTCTGCAAAGAATTTGTGTAAAAAACAAATAACATATAAGACTATGTGTTCAAGTCTACATAAATAAACACAATAAGACTATGTGTTCAAGGCTACATAAATAAAAACACAATAAGACTATGTGTTCAAGTCTACATAAATAAACACAATAAGACTATGTGTTCAAGGCTACATAAATAAAAACACAATAAGACTATGTGTTCAAGTCTACATAAATAAACACAATAAGACTATGTGTTCAAGTCTATATAAATAAACACAATAAGACTATGTGTTCAAGGCTACATAAATAAAAACACAATAAGACTATGTGTTCAAGTCTACATAAATAAACACAATAAGACTATGTGTTGAAGTCTACATAAATAAACACAATAAGACTATGTGTTCAAGTCTATATAAATAAACACAGTAAGACTATGTGTTGAAGTCTACATAATTAAACAGAGTAAGACTATGTGTTCAAGTCTATATAAATAAACACAGTAAGACTATGTGTTGAAGTCTACATAAATAAACACAGTAAGACTATGTGTTCAAGTCTACATAAATAAACACAATAAGACTATGTGTTCAAGTCTATATAAATAAACACAATAAGACTATGTGTTCAAGTCTATATAAATAAACACAATAAGACTAAATGTTCAAGTCTACATAAATAAACACAATAAGGCTATATGTTCAAGTCTATATAAATAAACACAGTAAGACTATGTGTTGAAGTCTACATAAATAAACAGAGTAAGACTATGTGTTCAAGTCTATATAAATAAACACAGTAAGACTATGTGTTGAAGTCTACATAAATAAACACAGTAAGACTATGTGTTCAAGTCTACATAAATTAACACAATAAGACTATATGTTCAAGTCTACATAAATAAACACAATAAAATATATGTTCAAGTCTATATAAATAAACACAGTAAGGAATTTGAATACTTAATAGTATAAGACTATGTGTTCAAGTCTATATAAATAAACACAGTAAGGAATTTGAAGACTAAATAAAGACTATGTGTTCAAGTTTATATCTGTTGAAAATAACGGTGTTTTATCGCTGCATTCTGTTGGTAGATTATTTATTAATGAAGACATTGGTTGAGGCGTTGATATATTTTTAGATGAAGTATTATTTGAAGATGTATTTTTATTATTAAAATATCTACAGCATATAATATCTATCACACATCCACAAAAATCATGGAGCATTCCTGGAAAATACAGAATAATAATAAACATTTACTGTATATTTCCCAATATAATGCGCACCCCTTCAGAAAGAAACTGAAATATTTTACTTAAAAACAATAGGTTTTTTAGTCATTAGCTGGGTTGACTGGAATAATAAGCATCCTTTCTACCAGCTAGTCATTAGCCAAACCTTTTGGCATTGATCTTTCCCGGATTATCGATAACCATCTACAGCAAGGACAACCATCATTTGTGATTGATTAGCATAAATTATGATGCTATTGGTTTAACATTCCACTGAACATGATTTAAAGGAGAAACTTGTCGGATCATGGTAGCAAGTGTAATAACCTGGCAGAAAAAACACAAAACAAAACATCTTGATATGAATTTGATAATTATCATTTCAGTAAATTCAGACTGAAAACTGAAACACAGAATAATAATTATAATACCTGAAACAGCGAACACTCCACCAACAATACCACACATTCTCACTAGAAACTGCCAGAACGGTTGGCGTTCTTCACGAACTTCTATTTTTATTGGATTTAAATCATATTTAACAAATATACCAGGGACACCATGACTTCCTTCTCGATGGTTTATTGACCGATTCTATAAAGATTAACAATAAATCATTTAATTAATTATTAATCTTTCCTGGATTAAGAGGAGATCAGATAAGATATGGTGTATGGTGAAGGATTATCGATACAGAAAGAGTACAAGTGAACCATGTACCAGGTATGTTTACTTCTTATTATTATAACTGTCCTGGATTAAGAAGTTAATAGACAGGGTGACGGGGTGTGTGATGTGGGATCATCGATACAAAATAAAATACCGGTACTAGAAGTGAATCATGTATCCCCACCGGACATGTTTTATTTGATACTGATTCTAAACCTACCCCCTCCTGATTCTAAACCTACCTCTCCTGATTCTTAACCTACCCTCTCCTGATTCTAAACCTACCCTCTCCTGATTCTTAACCTACCCTCTCCTGATTCTAAACCTACCCTCTCCTGATTCTAAACCTACCCTCTCCTGATTCTAAACCTACCCTCTCCTGATTCTAAACCTACCCTCTCCTGATTCTAAACCTACCCTCTCCTGATTCTAAACCTACCCTCTCAGTGACTGCAAACTGGTAAGTATCAACATTAGCTGCGTATGTTCTTACTGACGTCGGTACGACTTTCATAAAATATTGAAACGTATGATAATCTGAAATATAAAATTTATAGTATTGTTAAATAAAAACATATTCACTTGAATTTCTTACGTGATTTTAATTTTCTCTGATAACATAATTTAGAAATGTAATGTCAAGGCCATGTATTCTCAAAACGATCTTAATTCTAGGATATCCTAGAATCAATGTTAGAAGATAAGAACCTAGGATATCCTAGAATCAATGTTAGAAGATAAGAACCTAGGATATCCTAGAATCAATGTTAGAAGATAAGAACCTAGGATATCCTAGAATCAATGTTAGAAGATAAGAAAATAGGATATCCTAGAATCAATGTTAGAAGATAAGAACCTAGGATATCCTAGAATCAATGTTAGAAGATAAGAACCTAGGATATCCTAGAATCAATGTTAGAAGATAAGAAAATAGGATATCCTAGAATCAATGTTAGAAGATAAGAACCTAGGATATCCTAGAATCAATGTTAGAAGACAAGAACCTAGGATATCCTAGAATCAATGTTAGAAGATAAGAACCTAGGACATCCTAGAATCAATGTTAGAAGATAAGAACCTAGGACATCCTAGAATCAATATTAGAAGATAAGAACCTAGGATATCCTAGAATCAATATTAGAAGATAAGAACCTAGGATATCCTAGAATCAATGTTAGAAG